TAAAACGTAAATTATTAATTCTCTGGAATTGAAATCTTAAAATTAATTTTTAAACATGGGATGATTTCATAACTAAATGTTTTATTTTTCACGAAAAAACATATAATTAAGAATTAAAACGCATCTAGGAAAATAGAAAAATGTTATATGTTTATGATAATACACGTGTGCATGTATCACTAATGCATATGATGTTTTATTAATATGAGTATTGGATATAAACCGGTTTTATTTGTTTGATAGACTTTAAATATTTTCATTAATCACAGTTGGGATAAATACTAGAATATTATAGTTTAATAGTAAACTTTGTATTAACTATCATTTAATATTTATTTTCGAACGTGTATAAAATATTTAGTACTTTTCATTTTAACAACATAAAAAAAACATAAAATCTATTGTATAATAGAACAATTGAAATTATTTTTTAGATAATTTGAACGTGTTATTTCACCAAGTCATGTCTTATTACAACTTAAAATATACAACTTTTTTCAAAAATACTTCTATATTATATTATATTAAAATATATTTGATCTACTAAATTAACTGTAAATGTTCATAATAGATGACTTTGATGAAAGGAATTTTTAATGTTTGGCCGTTTTATATTTATTTTTCATAGAAATACATTTTGGTCTCCTGACCATTAAAATCAGACTAATTATATATGTACGTGTAGAGTGATTTTCTATATTTTATCCATAAGATTTATTAATTGTACATATAATAGATGCTACAAATAACATTAACAAACGACTTTTTTATTTCAACTATTATACGTAGATCATGACCGGAGGCCATGGTGATAATTGTTCCCATTTAAATTTTAACCAGGACCCATCACGACTGACAGCTACGCGCTACTGTGTTGACATAGGAAACTGGTAATAGAGGAAAATGTACTGTATCTGTATGCCAATGGGCAATAAACACGGGGAAGGGTGATGAAAAAATGTCACGCAGCAAAGTAGCCTTATCCCGTGTTTATATGAGACACTTAACAACACACGATTTTATTTTTAATCCAGATGTTATACCATAGCACAATGTTTTGCACGAAATAAAAATCTTATTCGATTTAAAACATAGTGTACGTATTTTATACGTGTGTATATATATATATATATACATTTATTGTAAATATGAACTAGTGCTGCGTATTTATTTTCCTAATAAAATGGTACACGAGAAAATATTACATTAATTGACTTGTAAACTAGAAAATAGTCGATTGATTATATAAATGCAGTTGCACGAGTAAATGCTAGAAAAATATAAATCATATCTACATTTATATGCTCTTAATATTAATTTGGAGCGCAAAGTTTTGTCTTCTGTTCTCCTTTATGAGGTTTTCTTTTAGAATTGTTTTTGTAAATAATTCTTGAAATATTATCTTAACTGTATTTTTTTAGTTTCTATTGTTGGTTCTTTTTGTACGTGGCGAATAATAGGTTTGGCAATAGAAGTTCGTTAAGTACGGTAATTTGAGTGTACGTCTATTTACCACAAACCGCATGTCCTTGAATGTATAGTGAGCTTGTAAATGTTTGTACGCAATCGGATAGATTTTCACGTGAGAAATACTAGCATAAAAGTAATATGTTCTAAAATCTATTTACAGTGCATATAAATAAAATTATATATGAGTAAATAATATAATAATATAAATAGTAATATAATAAATATTACAATACGCGTGGTTTTCATTAAGTTGAAATTGTTTTGAGAAAACTATATAAATATTTGAACTTAAATACACAATAATGATATTCGTAAGCGTAATTTTATGTCTTCGTATATATAAACCATAATATGTGAATGTTAATATTTTTCGTTTTTTAAATTCGATTAAAACACCCATTTTTTATGTTTGAACATTTTTTTGTTTTAAAAATATTTAATACTTACAACCATTTGTTATACTGATGGTGTATTTGACGTGCAGTTTTATATTTATTAATTATGGAATTCATTATCAACGATTATTAAAACAAAATATATGGTTGTGACTTTTAACTACTAGCCTAAAATATTGATGTTTTTTTCAAATGTATTAGAATTTTTTTGAAACATATTTTTCAAGTGCTACGTTATTATAGAAAGTATCTATATCAAATTTAAAATTATTAAGTAAAAGTTATATGTTATTTTTTTATTTATGTTAAACAATAAGTTAAAGGAGTACAGAAAATTTGAATATGAAATCACATTTTAAATAGAGAATAATATATAATATTACGTAAGGGGTAATGTCTGAAATTTGTCGAATTATATTTTAAACACCTTATAGTAAACTTTTATTATTATTTTTTTCTAAAACAAATTTTAAATATAAATATGTTTTTTCATTGATTTTAGTCATTGTTTATATAATAGTGTTGTTAAGTGTAAACTTATATATATCTATAAAATACTCGTTTATGACTTTCATATAAAAATTAATATTTGTTGATCACAGTATATTTTTAAATGGAAAGTAATTATTTTTTTTGTTATTTTATTTATATACATAAAATAATAATTTATTAAAGACTTGTACAATTACGGTAGAATTTTTTTTTTTTTTTAAAAATTCAAGCATTGACACTTATTTTCTAAAATTATATTGTTCATCATGAAGTAATAAAAATAAAAATTACGTACAACGATTTATAAAAAATAAACTTAGAAAAATAATATCGCTAATATGAAATCTTATTGAATTTTTTGGAATCAAAAAATGTTAACATTACTTCTGTTATGTAAAAAATAAACATAATACTTTAAATTTTAATATATGTAAAAATGTCCGTATTTTGATTAACCTCATTGTTGATTTATTCGAAATACATGTTATGAATGTAGGCAACTTTTAAAAAATAATTACTTCAATAAAATATTTTTTTGGAAAAAAAATAGGAACTTTTGAACTATTACTATCAATATCAGTACTTAATTAATACAAATTTGTTTTTTTTAAGATAATTTTATATGTAATTACTCTACGTTAAAATAATACCCAAAATTACATTAATAGATAGTTAAATAAGTTAAATGAAATGTTAAAGTTCTTTTTTTGTCAAATTCATTGAAATCTTGAAATTTTAATTAAATCTTAAAAGTTATAATTGAATTTAAGTAGTTAGTTATATTAATTTATATTCCATTGATTATAGTATTAAAAATAAATTATATTATCTAGTAAATATTGTAGTCATAGAACTTAAACGTGAAGATTTTCAAAAGTATAATATATTTTTTTCTTTTAATCTTTTTTTTTTTTTTTGCTACTAAACCATTATTTTTTTTTCTATTATATTATTACAACCATATGTAACGATTTATGTGAACTAATTAAATTTTTTTTAATTTGAATAAATGTATTTACATTAATATCATAAATAATAAATGAATTTAACTATAATTTAATGACAGTGCTTTTCAAATATTTTGAATGTGAACGTACAGTAACAAATAACGATAGCAGCAATAGACGTGACAATATATTTATGTATTGTTTTTCATCAAGTATTGTTATGGTGGATGCGTTTTCGCAGGCTTAGGTTTAAATAATTTTTAACAATTATAAGTATAAATTATTATACTTTGAGTAAAATTACACATATTTCCAAACTCAAATCGCTCATTGATAGAATTTCAGATAAAAATTAAACGATTAGTGACTATACTTTCTGCTTTAGTCACATACCCTAAATTGTGTATACCGGACATTATGGATTTTAAAATGACAGCGTATTCATGTATACCTGCTCAATGAGGTTGATTATAGTTTTCAATAGATAAATCGATATCGGTATTTGGCAAAAAGCAAAGTCGTATTAAACGGTATCGTAAGAGGTGCCGAATGGGAAAGTATAGAGGGCAATACCGAGTCCAAAAGGCTTTTGCCCTCTTTTCTGCGGATAGGGTATCCCTTTTAATAATTTAAACGATACCGGGCGATCGGCCAGCATTAGATGATTTGCGATATTTCCCGGTCAGATGACGGCTGCCCGAGTAAAGGGTAGATACAGCCTGTCGATTGAACTTTACTTTCTGGTTTTTTATGTAAACGAATATATATATATATATTTAAAAAATACACATACGTGCTAACACACACCCAACAAAATTATAGCTAAGGTAACTCTGCTTAATGGCCAAAGAAAAAAAAATATAGTATATATATGAATGCCTGTGTGTGTTCTATATAGTGTATGTGCGAGTATATCATACATTATATAGAGGTATATTATATATATATATATGAGGTAAATAAGTCAAATGTTGTGGAGAGCAATAAAAAAAATAATGGCATACACCCGTATTAGGATAATATAGTGCATATAACTTTCAAACCCCACCTCCCTATCGTCTTCATTTTTGTAATAATACTTATAATGTTGTTGAACGAATATTATCTGAAATCCCCTCCGGGTTTCAAACTGTACAAGATGCCGTTTAAATCCAAAACATTATATTATTATTTGCTCGTTTATGATAGATTTAATTGTTATCATCATGATGCAATTAAAATTATGGAAATTGTTTTATAATTGTATATATTCTTTAAAAATTGAACAACAAAAAAAAAAAAAAAACATTAAACCTGAAAACAAAATTACAGTACTCTAGAATTATCAGATTATGATGTTTTTTTAGTGATCAATTTTTGAAAGTATTATACATATTATAATTAAATAGCAATTATTTATTTAAATATGTATAAAAAAAATCTAGCAATGGTAATTTCGCTTCCTTGATAGTATAATTAAATATCTATATTATTTATTTTAAAATTTCGTCTTGTCAGTTTGTAAAATTTTTAATCAATATTTCAAAAGTTTCTTAAAAACCATTTTGAACTAATAATATGAGTACGGAAAACTTGATCATTTTTCCATACCGATGTCGTTTTGTTTATCTTAGAAATCAAAATACATTTGTAACTTATTTACATAAATTTATCGTTTTTATTTTTTCATGACTTAATTTATGTGCCCCCATAACATTTTTCCTTATCTCCCTTATGTATATAGTTTATAGATATAATTGTATACAAATTATGATGTAATATCTGTAACATACGGTTAACTTTTGTAAATTTTAATAAAAAAATACAACTTAGTCAAATATTTGCAAACCTGCGTAAGTTAATGTATGAAAAGGAATTTCTCCATTTACCATTTTTTTGTAATTATTTTTGCTGTACATTTATTTAATTGATTAATTCTACTGCGATATTAACAACGTATTCTTTAATTCCAAGACTGAATATAATGTTTTATTAATACTAGTGGAACAGACGTCGAGTTCATTTTATATTTTACCGAGAACGTTATGAGTTTTATGACCATCAGACTGGTCGGCATGTTTGGCTTAGTTAGTTTTGAAGTTTTGCAGGTTCGTCACAGCAGGTCACATCAGGCCACAATCTTTGTGAATACAAAAAAATTCAATTAAATAAAAACAAAAAATAACAAAAAAAAAAGTGACTTGGAAATCAACAGAATTATCATAAACATACCCATATATAAAAATAAACACATACATACGTACGTTCTACTTACCCAGCACAGCACCGTATATTATAGTTATTGCGAAGGTCGTTAGCTATTGTCTTTGAAGTAGATCCGGTGATCGCAGCAGCTCTCCCTCCTCGCACACCCTCTAACCATCTCTGAAACGATTAAACACAACATTTCGTCAACAACTGTTGTTGTTACTACGGTCGTTTGAAAAGAAACCTGAAATGCTGGACAACCGCAGAAGCGAATATCCCCTCAGGATGGACCAGTTTCTTTGTACAGGTATATTATAATACGGTGTCGAATATCAGCAGCCTACATCTCGGCACTTAATAATTGGGCGATTTTACATTATATACCTCTTTTTTCCTCCTTATTCTTCTCCTCCTCCTACTACTACTACCACTGCTACTATTATCTACTTACTACTCCTCCCCGTCCCACCTTCCTTACTTCTTAGTATTAATACTATATTTATACTACTACTACTACTACTACTACTACTACTACTTCTCCTCTTTCTCTAAATCGGCACTTATATGCACGTGTTTAAATGTGTACATGCATGTTTACTCGTTATGTATCGATCGTATATGCCTTTCTACGCCACGCGTTGACTGAATCATTTTATGTTTGCACGCGCACGAAATGGGTAAAAGACGGTGCCGACGATTACATGCATTCTGTACAAGGATAATATTCTAATGCGTTTCGCAAACGCGCGCCGGTCGTACCCACATCCTGTATCGATGACGTCGGCATACGCGTAAAAGTATACGTGCTACATGTACACCTGTACAGGTCGTGTTAATATACGTCTAAACAGTATAAAAAAACGTGCGTACAACACGTAATAACCAACGCATGTCGTCCGTAATGATAGCATTCGATCATGAAGCCGGTGCACTGCAGTTGACGGTAGGCGATCGTAATGACGTATTGACTGCAGTCCTATAACAAAAGAAATACGTTACGACGGTGATCGTTATGGAACATGCAAAAATAATACGAACGTAAAATGTGAACAGGACTATAGCTGCTGCTCGTGCTATGGTACATATCCTTTGTAATATATTTATTATGTCTGTATTTGCACAACGGTACAGCTATGGCAAGCGCGTGGTCGCGTGTACGTACATTTATCGTATGTGTGTGTGTGTGTGTGTTTGTGTCCATGTATATGAGTGTGTAAAACCAGAGGATAGATTAAAACGTTCCGAGTAATTATCTTATTTGTCGGTCGCTAACGAGTAAGGACCATTGGGACTGTACGAGCGGAGGAAATAAAAAAATATCTAAAAAAACCAGAACAAAAATGATATCGTAACCCGTTTAATATGTGCATGCTTAAACAGCTCGGGGGACATAATAATGTATCCAGTGCACTGCGCACACCGACGACAACGAAGACTACATAACTGCGCCGCTGCAGCAATGTTGTTTGATACCGGGTTATTATGTCAGTTGCGCGTCGGTAATTTAATGTTTTCAAAGCGTTTTCATTTTTTTATTTTAAACACCTACCTAATTATATAAATAAACGATTTGTTGTGTATTTATTATACATACGCATTGTAGTATAAAAATTATCATCGTACGTACATTGTAATCGTGGCTTCACTATCAGCGGAAAATGTGTGCATTTTTATCATATATTGACTTGTGGTAGTACTGGTAATACGTGTTTTGTGATCGTTGATTAAAGTTTTTTTTTTCTGGTAAATTTACGTTGTACTTAAAACCAAAGATCATTAATTTTCTGTATTTCATCTTAAACGTTTTCGTCTAGTACGATCCATTTACTTAACCCTTAGGACGCGCGGGTTTCCACACTCGTTCCTTCGTCATTGTCGATGGATTTCTGAACAAATCAAAATTACGTTGACCGTGCTGTATACTATAACGATTGATGTTCAGGTTAAACTCTGGTACTTGTGCGCGAGTTTCATATTTTCGAACGCAGTTTTTCGTGTCTTCAATTTTATCGCAAGTCTTAATGTGTCATAATATCTTTGTCTGGATTTTCATGCGTCTACGAACATTTAAAATGTCCACGGATTTTCATAGACTACTCGCAAGTAAAATTTTCGAGTCGGTTTTATCGACCGTCGTCAATACCATCCGTCCACCACCATGGCCCGGGCGTCGCCTTGACGTCTGAACAGTTCGTTGAACGTAAAACAATACATAACTCACAAACACGACGTTGAAATTAAACGGACTTGCAATATAGCTTCGGGTCACTCGTAAAGTCAACCGGGGGGACCCTGTCGATCTCGATCGGAACGATCACACGCGGCACACACAGTGCTAGAATGTGTATTATTACGATTCTCATTTGAAAGTACGCGCGTGCACATAAAAGCCACCGTGCAGTGGAGACATGAGCCTCGTGCATCCTGCTTTACCATCCGACTTCATTACGGCGGACGGACGAAAAAAAATCTCTCTTTCTCATTGTTATCAAAAACACCTGTTTGCCATATTCGTCTAAGATATCAGTATTAGGCGTGCGCACCATATAATATACACACCTATTACACGCGAACCCCGCAAAGGACACCGTTGATTCGGAACTTTCACGATTAGGAATTGAAAATCTGTTTTAATGAATGCGAATTCCACACGTAACGAGTGGTCTGTGCACAGTCTCACCGATAAATCTAATGATATTCAGTATCGATTGGTCCGGGTCAATACGTATTATGTACATAAGTGTACGAGCCGCCGGATGGCGGGCGCTCCCGAACCAATATTTCAGACAGCTATTTAGGGCTCATTTATTTTCTCATGTGACGGCGCAGCACCATCGAAATGATCAACCGCAAATCGTTGGTTAACGTTTCCCATCTACATGATTAAATTGCGAGCGGTACGCGTAGAGAGCGTACAATTTTGCACTCGGTGGCGCACACCGCGAGATAAAACATAGAATTATACTGATAGTCGTCATTTCGGCTATTGATTTGAGCGAACGAACACAACAACCCCACGGGGAAGGTTCGAGAGTATTAAGACGCCAAAAGTGCTGTAAACGACGTTGACTAAATGTTTTTCGTCGACTTTTGGCCGACACGATATATTCCGACCAAAACAATTTTTCATTTAATTCGTTCGCTACACTCTTCATTATTATTTAACTTCTAGTTTGGTATTTTGTTTTATTAACAACACACACACGCACAAATTACAGATATTATGTATACGTATTTAACGAGTACACCTCTATCTACTAACAGTTATTGTATGCATCGTGGGCCTATGTTAAATTGTATAATTCCAACAGGAATTTTTATTATTATTAATGCATTAATATATCAAAAAAACGTGACGTTTTCGTTTAATAATATTAGAACTCTTGCCAAATGCCAATACATACTCAGATATTCGTCATTCTATATGTTCCAGAGACTAAAATAATTTTCTACTGAATCATTTTAAAATAGATGCTGAATTATATTATAATGTTATTTGCATGAAATATGATATATATATATAATTTTATTATTAATTATTAGCAATGAAAATATTTTAATATTTAAAAACTGACGACCATTCACCGATAGTTAATAATTATTGATATTCTTATAGCTGAACTGTTTTAGAATGGTTGTTGTTGTTAGTTTTGGCTAGTAAAAATAAATGGTACTGTTGTTTGTTGAGATAAATACTTTTTAATCGTATTTAACGTAACTTAAAAATTTTACGCAGCAAAAACAGAAACAAAAGATAATAATTTTGTCTGAAAATCTGATAGGAATCCTTTATTGCGTACACAATTGCAAGAATGCAATACTAAGAAATGCATTTACGTGGAAAACACTAAAACTTAATATATACCTAAAAAGAGGAATTTCGTCTAATCTTAAATTTTCAAATAAAAGCAGATTTTGGCAATAAAATTCTTGATTAGATTTAAGATTAATGTTATTTCTGCATGATTATACGTACAATATAACCGTTTAATTGAGGAATGTAACCAAGTAGTATTTTCGTAGATTTACTTTTTAAAAGAAGGTTTCAAAGATATATATTTACTAGTACATTACATGGTACGTGCTATTCGATTTGTAGCGACAATTATTTTTGAACAAAATTTGAAATACCAACTATATGTGAGATGATTATGTTTCTTCATGTGGTTGTAAAAAAAAATAAAAAAAAAAAAATGGTTTATTCATTTTCGGTTTACAAAAATGTAATAAAGAAACAATGTTTTTATACTTGTAATTATATAAATCAAAAATGTAAAAATTATTTAAATATTTTACTAATATTATTCCATAAAAATGGAACATGATATCAATAGTGAAAAAGTCAAAAAGATACCATTTCCAAATTTAAGTAATTTATTTGTTTACATTTGAAAGCAATTATAAACCATTAAGTTCAAAAAATGATTTTGAGCGTAGTATTGAATTATAATACTCAGTAATTATATATGTTCATAGTTTTGTATTATATAACGCATCTAATATAGCTGTAGTTTTAAAGTATTTAAATCAATTTTACATTTTAAAACTATAAATAACAATCATTAATACCAATTTTTTTGAAATAGTTGATTAATCCTCAAAAGCAATTTAAATTAATGTTAAAAACCATAGTTTTAAAAATTATTGTATAAGCAAATCTTACAAAAATCTCAAAAACAAAATAAAAAGAGCTATCATTTATATTATTGTTTATATTATTTTTAAAACTAATGAATATTTCTTGATAATATTAATAATTTTCTAATAAACTAATGCTTTCAAAAAACTGTTTTGTATGAACTCAAATATTAATTTTAATTAACATTATTGAATAAATACTATACATTTAATGATTGCAATAAAAACACGAACTAAAGATAATATTTTCTATAATAATAGTATGGATAAAATTATCTTTAGTTCTTTATTATGTTTTCATTATATTATAGTGTCTCAATTTTCTTATTATTTATTCTAAAAGTTGTATACAGTTTAAAAAACAGTATAAAAGTGACAAAACAAATGATTACAAAGTGATTGTTTAAAATCTTTTTCTACTGCTGAAAAATAAAAGTTTCAATCACAGATAAAGTTTTCTATTTAATTACAATTTAATCATTAAATTACATATATGTTTGAATGGTGTTCGGAAATGTCATCAAGTTTTTAAATTCAAATCAGAGCGTTTTTGTATAAAAAAATTGACGAAGAAAAATCATTTGAACATTTAACTTAATTCAAAATTCTTTAGAATATTGTTCTATGAAATATTCATAGTTTAAAATTGAAAACTATAATTATATCAAAAATAAATTTAAAATTTTTTAGGATAAATTG